AGACAGTAGGATGACAATCTTACTAAAACGGTGCACCGAGAAAGTTATTTTCATAATAGTATTTTCATATTAAAACTATCATTGATATTTCTTCAAAAATATTTAACGAATTTTTAATTGTAAAATATCTATTTATAGAATTGTGCTCTTCACTTGAGTATTCAGACATGCTGTATCCCTGCACTGTATTGTCTCCAGGGACGCTTAAATGTGCAGACTTTCTTAGTTACACTCAAGTGTTGTAAACATTTAATATAGATGCAATATTGAGGCAATGACTAGTATATCACACTAGACAACTTATCAAGTAATTTATTGATGGGAAAAGATTTCAGAAGAAAATATATACGACTGAAATATTTATTTTCGGAAGGGATTAGAATTTAAGTACCGTTTTGTATGACATCAAATTGAAATTTATTATATGACAAGAGGAAATTCGTGTTCGATAAAGTCCATTTTAAGTTTACACCCGCACTTGCAAACATTGCCCAGTGTACAACCAAAGGTAAAGTCGGCCAACCTGAAGACAAGTGGATGATAGGTTATTCATATTAATAGTTTACAGTAACCTAACACATGTGAAGTGGTCGTACCCCTGGACACTGTGGTCCTTCCTGCCTTATCGCCAGTACGACACTCAGTCGTTGCTGGCTCGTGTGGAGACAGGCTTCGTGGCGGATACAGGTGATATATATATATACAGGTGTGTGTTTGTGTGTGGAGATATTGGTAAACGTATAGTCTATGGTTACAGGTGGGCTAAGCAAACCAGAGTGAAGGTGTTCTTTCCCTGCATAAATTCAACAGTGACATTCTTGTGATTGATTCATTGTCATTTCTCGGCATTTAATCTGGAAACATATATCATTTTAAGGTAAGGGTTTTATCTGTTAAAACTTATCATATTGTTACATAGCCTTGGTGAAGATGCAGTGTAAGAATTTGCATCGATGTAAGTAAGTTTCCCGTGTAACCTCAGTAGATCTAGTGTAAGAGTCTCCTTCGTGGTATATGATGTATCCAAAATACATTGCTATGACTGTCTTCTATATTTTGATTATATTTTTTGTTCTTATGTTTTTAATCTATTTTCGATAATAATTATCAATGTATTTTATTCCTATGTACTGTATTGATGACACAAACTATGTGGAGTAAACATTGAAAAGGACTTTCCACTTATTTATCGAAAATCTTTACAAACGACAAATATGTAAATCGTGAGGGACTCGTGGATTTCATGTCTCAAATCTGTTATGATCTTGTCCATATTCAAACTAATCTTTTCAAAATTTGCAAACTGTTTAGTAAACTCTCTCTCGAGATACAGCTGAACAAATGTCAATGCTATCTATTTTCATTAAATTTTAGATTTAGGAATGAAAATAAGCGAATGGGTTTATATTTCTATTGACATGACATTTTAATAGTCAATATACTTAATACATATTTCTTTTCAATATTTATTAAATCTCAAAACTTCATGAATACGCTGATTGATGGTGAACCATAAATTTTTCTACAGGTGCTGAGATTTAATTCACCACACATTATATCTTTATATTGCTTTAATGTAATTAAAATGCTTTCAACTGATAATACCGTCACCTTGGCACTATCGACATCTGTTTAATTAGAGTCACAACTTAATTAATCAATACTTGGTTGAAGTTTCATATGTACGCTTTCAATTCTGAGGTATAATGGACCAACATCGAGAATGAAAAAAACTATGCAAACTAGAAATGTACATTTATAGGTAGTGAGTTTCATTGATTTCAAAATGTCCATATGTATATATATAGCTAGCTATGAATTGTATCTAGTAAACCAAGGTAAGTGATTAAGTGCTTGGCGTGTGTTTAACGTAAACAGCAGGTAAAGTCAATTAGTGAGACCAGGTAGCATTGATTTACCTTTGTAGTGATGTCGATTTCTGTTTTAGACGCGTTTCTTCATCTCTATGATATATGGTAGAGATGTAATCTGTTTAACACTTCAGATGAATTCAAGGACAACGATAAATATTATGAGCTTATCAACAGATATACAATGTATATCTAATAGATATAGTATGTGGTGGTACTCATAAACGTAAATACATTTATTATTTACCTGTTAAAACTCCTCAATGTATGATCAAAATCTCATTTCTATTTACATCGAAATCTTCATTTATTTCTTCAGGAAGTCAGATGATCGAGCCTGACATGTCATTATTCGATATTACATAATATGATGATATTTTTTGCCTATTGCTGTTAACTACAATCCAAAAAGGAGACTATTAATTTTTTTTTTTTTTTTTTTTTACTATTTATTATTATAACAGGTTCACGGTAACAATGTGATCAATCACGTTAAAACGATCACGTGATCACCCCATATTTGTGACATGACAATTATGATATTAACGGCTTTTCACAGTGCTGATAAGTTAGGTACATTTGTACATGTACCGATATAACGCTCTGACCGACCTTATCATGCCGTTATTGAAAACACAAATCTAAACTATCCAATATATATTGGAATATACATTTTCAAATAATCCTAGATTTTAAATGGATAAATATCTTGTAAAAGTAAATAGATTTTAAATTCCGTATTTTAATACATTGTGTTGTGCACAGATTTGATCGATTTTTCGCCTCCGATACCCGGAAAAGAATATATCTATGGATTTTATTACATTTGTAACACACTGTGAAATTTAAAACAGTTTATTAACGGACTTGTTTGAGAACAGGGTATTATATATATTTTTTTCTGTATTAAGCATTTCGAAGTATCAAATCAATATAGCCTGCACGTTACTTTCTTTAATTTGTGTCTTTATCCTGTACAATAAGTTACTTTCTTGAGAAAATTAGTCTAAAAGACCACAGGAAGCATATATTGTTTGTTTGAAATATGAGTAGATATTCGAAAGACATATAATGGTTCGTATTTAATCTTTTTACGATATGTAACACAAAATTATCAACATCATAAAAAATAACCGACTCAAAGTAACATTACTTAACATAAATTGTGTCCGTCTTCAAATTCATGACATACATTTATATAATAGTTTCATAATATGCCAGTAGAGCACTGAATAAGGAAACATATGAATGTTATAAGATTTTTCCTAAGCTCGTCTGAATCAATTTATCACACATGACATTTCAAAATTCGAACTTTACGAAATAAGTGTTAAGTCTGTATATATTAGTATACAAATCTTTAGTGTATGTGTTCACGGTGAGAAAGAGACTAACAACACGCGGGTTATATGTTTCTGTCGGTAACAGCTAATGTAGCTTGTAATCTGTATCACAGGTATCATAACTATCCATCACTGGTATCAATATCCCCTTATAGTATTTAATGGGTTTTTTAAAACCAGCTTTCAACGGGTAACAGAGGGGCTCGATCCATTTAAATCCTCCTGGAGATGGACGGTAAGGCGTGTGCATTGTATCCATATATTCGTGTAAGATTTTATGAGGTTGAAAATGATCCATTTATCATAAAACGTTTAATCCGAGTCAGAGACGGTGTCATAAAATCTGGAATATAAATTAAAGTACACAGGTGTCGAACATGTTCACTTCATCTACCGCAAAGCCTTCGTGACAATTTGGAAATTTAAAGGTAGGGCACCAATACACATAATGCTGAAATAGCGTTTGCTGCAAATACTGCAGTGATAGTAATTTTTGATATCTCGGATTCGCGGTTGAGCCAAAAACTTGAAACAAAACGATACATTCTTCACTGAAGTCATGGAAATCTATTATTTCTGTATCAATTCTATTTTCAGTACCAGCCTACCTGTTTTTCACTATTTCATACATGTACCACCGCTGAAAATAATGACTCCTCGATAAATTTCCTCAGAATTAACATTCTATCTTAAACCGAAATCAATATATTTTTCTCACTTCACTATTCAGCATTTAAAATCAATGTTATGCACTACAAACGTATTTAAGATTAAGACAATTCCATGGCTTAAAATCGATTAAACAACTGCTTATAATCGTATTTTTCATATTCGATACAAAAGCGGCACTGCTGCTGTCGCATAAGTTCTTTTGGTTTATAGAGCAGCATTTTCCTGTCGAAGTACTTATTGATAAAGAACAAGATGTTATATATAGCTCCTGTTCGTACAGCGAGACAGGAGAGTGATTGAAACTCCACGCAGTCCTATCAATATGATGGCGAATCAATACCGATACCTTGCGTAACTCTGTAATGTACTTTGTGTGTTCGTTTTTGCAGAGCAGTTATGCTTAGCCCTATTATGAATGAATATTGAACAGCAACAGAATAGTTTAATTATTAGCTGTGTGCGGTCATTACCATTAATAAACATGGGCGATTCTGATATTAATTTTGCCCGACAAATAGTAACATTGTAGTCGCTTTAATCAAACTTCATATATCATTCCCCAAACAGATGGTTGGAATTTGATACTGACTCAATTCAAATATGTAAGCTCATTTGACATATTTGTGATGTAGATATTATTTATGAAGCTGTGTCAATATAAACGTGACTGTAATGCCAGTTTTTACTACTCAGTTTCTACATAATACGCTTTTTTATTTTCATGGTTGTAAAACGTCTTCTGTTATTCAAAGTTGTATACATGCTATGTTTTTCAGTGAATACATCAAACGAAAAATGAATGAGAAAATGTCAAACTGTCAGAAAGTATCATCATGATGAGAATTGCAGAGCATCACGCTACCAATCTCATGGATTGTGAAACGGGTAGCATCGTATATAGATTATTAAAAGAAACGTTGAAAGAAAAGAAAGTATACGTGATTCAGAACTGTTAAAAACCCTACATACTAGCATTCTTTAACTTGACAGATAATACATCACCCCTGTTTTTGTATTTTACAGATGGCTGCTTTGTCATGAAATTCTTCCTGTGTTTGTGTTATCCTCGTGTTAGTCATCTCCGTTGATTTTTTTGGTACAATTCGATGCCAACATGTCAGCTTTAGAAGTTCCTAGCTACAACTCCTCAAGGGTTCAGAGAGCATACAGAATCAATAACATAGAAACTACAAAACTGCATGGACGTCTTAATCTTTTGGATAAAGAAAAAAAACGACAGATTCAGGTGACAAACCAGGATATTCGACTAATATCGGTTACTTTGGATTACATCAATTCGTGCAGTGGGCAAAGTCCAGAAGGACTGGGTCCAGACTCCGAGGAAGAATATGAAAAGCCGGAAGGTGCGCCATGTTTTTTGTATGGAGAAAGAATTGTGAGCCGAAAAAGACGACGATTTCAACGTCCGCAATCAGCTACCGAGAGATCACGTGTCAAACCACTGGATTTGTCTGATCTTAGTGACAAATCAAGTGAAGTGTCATCAGCAACACGCCCACAAAGTAGTCCCGCAAAATCGCGCACGTTTATAACGTCATTAAGAGGAGACGGTGATTTCGATGACGTGTCAAGTATACCTGTTGACAACGACACTGAGTCCACTCTATCGTATAGCCGTGCATCGACCCCAAGATCAAATCACTCATGGATGACAGAAACTTCCGATATAACTAAAAAATTGCTTCGTGCTAATATAAATGCAGAAAGACATCCCATGGCAAGGAGAGAGAGCATGCGTCAACGTGAGATAGGTCAATTTAACAGTCAAAACGTATTCGATAAGAAAGCTATTGCTCGGAAAATGTATTCAATGCGTAAGAAACCATCAAGAGACCCTAATGATAAGACTGCTCCTGTTTTCGCAAACACTGCATTGAACAGAAATGCCGGAATTATGGACATTCTTAATCAACGACGACCAACTCTTTCAGCGAATGAATGGAAGTCTCATCTTTCTCAATCAAGGAGTCCTATGACGATTGCAGATCAAAGAAAACATGTGATGGACATAAAGATGGGTATTAACGAAGATAGAAAAGAAAGAATAAACAATAGAGTGAAAACGTTTATGAGTGAGTCGTAATGGTGCTTTGATTTGGTCCCTGTGAAAAAACAATGCCACAATTGCCATAAAAGAAAAGTGCTCAAACGCAATAACTTCAATATTTTTCTAATTGTACCTTGCAAATACTTCATAAATGTATATAATAAATCATACGAGTTGTCATTCAACATGTATGTAATTTGTCACTTGTTCTCTTCCATTTCCGGATGGAACACAGCTTCGATCTGACCAAGTAAGATGGCAAACTGCTGGCAATTTACAATTATTCCATCGTTAATTGTTTTCTTTAGCCTTGGTTTTACGAAAATTGTCTTGATTATATCAATTAAAAATCCCTACGAGGTTACGAAGGTGGCAGCCAGACCGAAAAAAGGGAACGCTCTCTATTTTCTACCTTTAGACCTTTTCTGTCTGCTCATTTTCCTGACATTTGCCGCTTAATATGAGGATGGTATAAATAAATAAATTGAATAAATGGCCGCCAACTGAATACATTTATGCTTTTTGATATTCTAATCAACAAAACGTACAAAACAAATAAATAATGAGGATAATAATCAGTAACTAGCTGTATTATTTATAATAGGTCCTAAATGATAAAGTGAAGTCCAGAATGTAAAGGCAAATTCAACACTTCAAAACTTAAATAAATGATATTTATGCAATAGCGTGCAACACATAATTACACACACATCAAAAATGAAAATAATGTAATTTTATTATATCACTTTACATAAAATATACATTTTGATATCAGCGTATAATACGCATTATGCATTCATTTGTTCCATGTAAGAGTAAATTTATAGACAATATTTAGTATTTACGAAACATCTGGGAATACAACACAACGTCAAATGTGGGAACAATACGATTTATCACTTTGGAATGTTTTAAATGAGAGAATTGACCAAAATATAATCTAGACAACGATAAGCTACAAATATATTGCCTAGGTTTTTATACTTTTCTATGCTGTGTATATATTCTTTTCTCCTCTCCTGCTATATGCTTATATATTACCGAGTAATAGCAATTTACAGCAAAATGACTAACATACTGAGAAACTTTCGCTGCATTTGAACTTCCTCCTGTTTGGCAAAGTGGTCAAAATAAGACAAAAAAATGGGGGGACAAGATATGTATGTAAATGCAGATTTTCTTCTCTTTTTTTTTTCGTTTCTATAGTGATTTCAATATCAGGCGAAACTTAACATTTTTGCCGTTGAGGTTGACTTCCTGTTACAGTTTAAACAAATCAGTAAACAAATGTCGATTATTGGTAATCATATGTAAAAATATTTAAAATGAAGATATAGAAATATTTTCAGTTAGGTAAAAACATATAGTTTTCTTTAATTAACTTTTCATTTCCCATTGTCCAATGTTGAAAGAATTTACTTGCAATATGATCCGAGGTATAGCTACAGAATGTTAGTAATTTCAAAATAATTTATTGGTCCTCCAGATTAGTACTGAACTGAAATGGGGGGATGCTGTTAACATATTATTAACGTGCTTATTGTTACTTTGTTCAATAATCGCCATGCTAACTTCCTTACCAGATCTATATACACTAATTTGAGTAATAATACTATGTTATTATGGTTATTGTCCTTACTGAAAGTTGTGTCAAAAACTATCGACACGTTTTGTTAAATTATTTGATAAATTCAATAATTACCTCCATGATTCCATATGGCTGTTCCAACAGAAATGTAAGCATTGCCTAGAAATTGTCAGAGGACATTTTTGACTTATTAAAAGGAGCATGCTAGGACGCTTCTCTCTATAATGAACAATGAAATTAATTGGTAAACCCGTTTTTGTTGCTAACTGGAACACATTGTTGAATCTGTCTGTGACATATGAGATTGAAGCAAGTTGGAGAGCTTCTACTTTAAGATTGGTAATGATGTAGTCCTCAACCGTACAGAATTGTCTTGATTAATTATGTAAGATGCATATGTTCACTTTGTCTGTGTGATGGCCCCTTTGAAGTATCACAAAGTACCACTTCTTCAATGTACTCAACATTACTCCATAAAATGTCCTTATGTTTACTACAACACTTCATTATTAATGTTCAAAGTAATTAATATCACCACCGTCTTCTTCTTTCTGGTGTTGTTGCACTTAGTATCACATCTTCGAGATATGAATGTAGACCATATGACAAGCATGGATTTCATGACTTTTTCGGTAGTTCCAAGATAACGCTTTCATTAATGCTGATTTCAGGGATGTTTCATGCACCAGAATAATGTTAATCCGTTTATTAAACGAAATGACTTTACCGCAAATAACGATACAATATATCAACTCTTTGATGAAAGATCTTAAACTCCGGTAAAGTGTCTGCAAGTGTATGGTAATCCCCGACTGCTAACACTAGAGCACTTTCTGGTGACACTCTATAATTCCAGGATAGGGTTACCAGATGACTTGACACGACACGAGGGGCATGGTCTACGTGTGCCTTTCCTTCCCCAGGTGTATCGAGCCAGGTGGGGTCCACACCTGCGAAAAAAACCAAAATTGTAAAATTAAAATTCAGAGACAGTTACGTCCGGATCTTGCAATGCATATTTATTTTAGTAATGGATGCAAGTTTACCTGTTATGTATCAAATGGCCGCATGGTAAGGGATATAACTCCTCTGGAATTTGACCCATTGTCTCACCACAAACACCACAAAAGAGTTCCATCTGCTCCACTAGAGTTCTTGCGGCGCTGCGGTAGGTGTCAGCCATAGATTGGTTGTCATCATCGCTGTATAGATTCGCTAATGCTACATTACACTGCATGGTCCCGTACTGCAACACACGAATACAAACATAATGTGATATGAAACAAACAATATCTGCAGCTCAAAAGCACGAAATAAATTGTGATCGAAAGTCAAGGATTTCTGTTTAATCTACAAATCAAACCTCAACTGATTGATTCAGATTTTATAGCATAAAGATGTCCCCTGACTTTAGGGCGTTCAAAAGTGACACTGATGATGTATTTCATATATTCGTGTACTTTTTTGTCACCATGAATACCAGTAACAGAAGCATATTACTATCAAGTCTAATTTAAGTGGTCTTCTCAACCGCAATTGTACATACAGACGGACACTTTGGTTTACTGCTGGTAAGAAAAAATACCCGAGAAGACTGATGAATTAAAACACATGACGATATATAATACGACGGGTTGCTGAGATTTTTACGACAAAATGTACCACGGAATCCCTCACAATCCTGTAACAAAATTATGAACTGCTGTTGCCCGTTACGGCATATCTACTCATGACCTCATTTCCGATGCAGTTCGGGAAAACAATGAACATCATATTGAGAGTTTATCTCATTGTTCTACCATGCTTACCCTTACTTGAACCATTCCCGATCTCGTGATTGTTACAACAGTTACTAGTTCTATATACGTGTTTTATGCTGATACCTCAGATGTACGAGTAAAGTGGTTTGTTGTTGTTTAAGAAGTTTTACTTTACATACCTTCCTTGAATAATCTCAATAAAAAATCAAAGGAGAGAGAAGAAGGTACGTTGAGGACTAAGGTAGCAATTTAATTTACTTCCACTGGAAGCTTGCTCATATGTTTCGTCTTTTACGAACTAGGCAAATCTTTTCTAACCTTCCCATTATCCAGTAGCCATTAGAAATATGCGTAGCGTATGTGGGGAAATGGTTCTAAAAATAGCATGCTCGTCTCTAATCCTACCATATTGAGTGCTTTACATCAATATGTTTGATGAAAATGATAAATTTATGAATATTAAAGCTTATCTTTGCTACACGAGATAAACGTAGTGTACAGGAGTTAAAATTTTCAAATTCAACGCTAGTCAATACATTTTCAGAATGCAGAGTATGTTTGCTTACAAATGGTTTGCAATCAACCTTTCAATATATCAACTGATAAACTAGATGAAACATTATTTAATCTGGGGATAATGTCCGAGAAATGTGAAAGTCAGATGAAATATCAGTTAATCTAAGAGAAATGTAAATACCAACATTCACAGCTACGTTATCGTAGTGGAGGGAAAAGTGTGAATAATAATTCTATACCTTAGGTCACTTGCTAGATTGATTATCAATTATCGCTAATCTCACGTGATTTGTTTTCTTACCTTGTTCCCAATAGATTCTGATAGGTCCAAAGCTCGCTGGTAGAGTTCCAAAGCCTGGTCAGATAAAACCAATTCATTTCACAAACTTTTAAATGTCATCGATGTAATTCTAATCAATCTATACAAATTGTTGATGATATGACGCACCTGTTGACCATGGCACATGGATAAGACGCCAAGTCTAAAATGTTCCTGGACAAATATGGAATGAACCGTATAGCCTTAACATATATATCTTTCATGTAGACATATTTCATCACAACTTCTGTTAGAAATGAAAACGTCATTTACTTTATTTTGTCACAGAACAATTCAAGCTTTATACTTGTTAGCACTAAAGTGATAATAATAATACTTATACAACGAAACCATGTCGACTGTTTTCTAACATCGTAGTGACGTAATTGTGTCGTGCGTCATTTATATTGTGATAAGCTATGAAATCAGGAAGTGGCAGATTAGTGAAAACTATTATCGTTATATGGCAATAAATCAGTTTGGTTTTATTGTATAACTGTACATCATATATATATATGCTACACGCTACAGGTACATCTCGTCTTATCGGCTTCTTGAAGTCAATGTAGTCTTTGGATCTACGTTTGAATGCGTCAACGACATTATTGCCTTCAAATGAAATAAATTATAAACTGATAAGAAGCTTTCCAATTCCCTTTATCTCTGAATAAGTACTGAAACCCAGTTTGCTTTATATCATTATATCCCTATTCAAGATAAACTGTTTATTATACTTCTGTGGTATGTATTCATGACCTTTACAACTTTTCTATTACATAATCACTTGCTTTTGTCCTCTACGGTAAACCCTTGAACTTCGTTGTATAAATTGATGTTATTCTTTCTCTATGTCATGACCTTGACCTTAGCTATATATACCTGATACATGAAACCTGATGTTATTCTTTCTTTGTTTCTCTCTCTTTGTCATGACCTTGACTGACCTAGACCTTAGCTATATGTACGTGATACGCAAATATCCTTTCAAAACAGATAACAGTTACGACTTTAACCTTGATTTGAGTTACCTTGACCTTAGTAATACATAATAGTGCTTTGTTTTTCAGATTTGACATCGAAGTATCAAAATATATTGTTGGTGATAACAATAAAACATTGGCATGATGCTGACCACAAAGAACCCGACCCAATTTGATATTACCTTGACCTATTGAACTATAACATTATGCAGACCTGTTGGGTATCTCCAGATAGTGTGGTCGATTTTGCCATCCCGCGTAATGCCTCCATCTGCCCGTACCTGTCGCCAATCTCTGTGTAGATAGAGTAGGCTGACTCGTAGCGGGGATTAGCTCGCTGGGTAAAATAAAAGCACAGACTATATAATATTTGTTCTGGTAAAGAATGTTAATCATTTTTTTCACTGTGTTCATAAGTTCTGATGCTGTACATTTCTACGGGACTTAATTTCTGTGGTTAAAATAATCTCCATTGCGTGGGCACTTTATTTCGAGGATAGAAATAGCTCTATACATCTCCTTATAGTAATTTTAACAGTTCATGGATATAATTCGTGGAAAAAAGAACCCACGAAATTAATACAAGAAAATTAATCAATTTACATGTTACCTATCCACTTTTTGCCTCGTGGTACATAAGGCCCTGGCAGAGCATTATAACATTATATTGATATTATCACATTATAATCATATTATAAATCTGGAACTTAAGAGAAAACCTTCAAGAGATATTTTAAAATGCTCGTTTTATTTCCCAGTTTTTAGATTCTACAATTTTAGATTAAATTTTTAGATTTAAGATAAACCCCTCCCGATATACACAATGCTTTCAACGTTACGCCTTCATGAAATGATTACAAACACTGACCCCAGTAAACAGCAGAGACAAACAACTATAAATGGGGCCCCAAATCGACAGAAGAAGCAGTGTTTGCTTTTAAGCTGACAACAGTTTTGTTTTACTTCCACTTACTATTAAGTATTGTTGTGTAAAGAATGCTTTTGGTTAAAAGTTCTCTAGGTTATTTTATAGTATTATCTTCATATGATATTGATCATGTATCTTTACAACAAACGATTGGAATAATGAAGCGTTAGATGACCGCTCTCAAGGCAGGTTAGAGATTCCAGAAGTAATTACTACACATTCCTGGTAAATTGGCATAAGGAACATAATACACGTGATAGATTTGCAGTTTCCTTCACTTAAAGACATCAAAAGTAACAACCTCCCTTTCTAGAGTAATTTTCCCACCGGTTTGTTTCACACATTACATTGGCTTTTTAATATCCAGACCGTTCCTCGGCGCAATAGTCCGGATCATAAAACCCTTCTTTCATTAAGGTTGTGATAAGCTATCCCCCGCCCAATACAGTTTGTATAGGATAGATACATAGAGGATAAATCGTTGATATGTACATCGGCAATGGACCTGTGATATGCTAGTTATTTCTCTTGGCTAAATCTATCAAGGCCTATTTATTTTACGTAAAGTGGCTCTGCGGAAGAGAGGGATATAAATAGAATTGTTTGAATTTGAAGTATATGTACGTTTATAAACAAACTACATGTTTAAATAGCTTAAGTATTACCCCAGTTGACCTCATCTAGATGTTCGTGACTACTTTAGATATAAATTGTTTAGATTACTCCGCCTGTGATGATTACCAGTTTTTTACCTCCGTATCCTTCCGCGTTCGATGAATCTCGGCGAATGTAAATAGACACTTTGCCTGAACTGGACGATCTTTACACTGCATAGCCATCTTCAAGGCATCCTGGAGGATAAAACGTTTAGGGTAAAGAGTGCAATAGAGATACTACAATCAGAAGGATATGAGTAATACAACCACACATTTCTCTCGCAACGGAACACAATTACACATTATATCTTTATTTTGGGAATTAACTCTTATTGAGTGGATCTGCTTTTATTCGCTGCGTCTTTGAAAGATTCATCTGATTTAGAATTACAATGGTAATGAAATGATTAATTTATATATATATTATTTCAATATCTGTCTTATGATTGTTCGTTATACTTTTACTAATTGATAATAACAAAAGCTAAATAAGTTATTTAGAGGAAGCCGCTTGTGATATAAAGTAATGATGATAAAACAAGAGCAGGGTGTGCCAGAAGGACTAGAAAATGCGTAACCTTCCGGAACCTTTGTATTTGAATTATGATCCCGTTAACATGTCTGTATTTTCTTTGTTGTATTATAGATTGCTGGTTCTATACGTCAAGCGATCACACAAATACTGTAAAAATCGTGCTACCTTGAATGTGAACATAACAAGAAAGCATTCATCCACTTCCGCGCAAAAAATACCTCTCTAAACCACGAAAATGTGAACCATCGAAAAACGGCCTACACAGTAGTTATATTATATAATGACACACACAAGTTTTTTATTACTCGCGCATAAAAAAGATTAATCTTGTTGACGAAAGCATTTTTTTTCGTCTTCTCTGTGATTCTAAATAACATATAAAGATTACTTTCTTGTGGTGCTATGTGACATCAGAAGTCTCTCCACATGTTAACCATTTAGATTTTTATGTTGGGCGTAATAGAGGTGTATATGGATATTACATAATATCAGACAAAGTGTCATGATCCGCATATCTGTATTCTCTGGTGATACAGAAGGAATGCCTGGTGCGAGGGCGTGAACGTGTCATGTTTGGCACTCTAAGACAATCAGACGTGTTATTTTTTATCGTCTCTGTCGACCCTAGTTCTCACAACGTACAGGGTAAAGTATTTCCATGTCTTTTAAAGGCTCAAGGGTTAAACATTAACATCAAAACAAGTTTTCCTTGTATGAATTTTTCTTTATCATGCCAGCCTTCTCACGCACTTCGGCAATGTTACTGTCATTTCATTGTCAGTATTGTCCTGCATACCATCTCTATCAAAAGAATATGTTACCCACTGCTGTTTCGTAGCTGCGAAATTGTAACTGACATTACTTGTTTTCTAGCTTGTTGTGATAACTTGCTGATACAAATATATTTTATATGTACATTATGTGTTCTAGAAATATTTTCAACTATTGACGTGGTTTAACGTCTTCGCAATAACCAGGTTCAACAGTGAACGGGGGTCTAGAGGGACACTGAGTGTTGGAAATAAAACAAGGAAATAGTAAGAAGGGTAAAGATAGGAGGCTATTAAGATATGAGGTGTTGTAAAGGGAGTTGCAGATTGAGTTTGGTCCCCGCAATGCCCCCGCACCCTAGAAGAAGATCTGACTAAATGATAGAAACCTTCTATTCTGCAGGTGGACCCCTTTTTAGTCACAACATACGAACATGTAGTGAAATACAACAGACCCTTTTCTTGGATCCTCCATAAACAGAAAATATCCAAAAAATTATCCACAATATGTTGGTCGCCTCGCACGACATGTAATGAGAAACGGTTTCTTGTTATAAAATAAAAGTTTACATTTCTTTCTAACATATAGCAGTTCTTACATTCGATACAAGTACTTATGTGGTTTATGTTAAATAGTAAATTATTTAACGCCTTTCAGCTGAAATGTTTTCATGGAAAACTGCTAACTTAAAATACGTATATATATATATATATAGGTTTAAAATGTGTATGGTTAGTATGAAATTGTTTACATATGTGTTTAAAGAAATAAATAAAAATTAGTAAGTTTTTTTTTTTTAATTCTGTCAATAATTCATAATACGCTTGTACAGTTTGAACAAATAAGCGCCCGGAATAGTAATTGTTCCAAGATGTTATACAATCCTAACACTTCATGTTATAATCACTCAAACACAAGCAGGAATAGGTAACAAAGTTAAATATCTCAAGCTGAGAGAATTGGGATTATTGTATCTTTTGTAAATTAAAGATTTTCACTCGTGTGAAGTGTACTTATCTCAGTTATTTCATAGGTGTTTCTTATTATAGCTGCCTATACTTAGCGCCGAGTCATACCGCAGCGCCCTATTACCACCGCTGGTATTTCACGTTCAGACGCGAATTCCTACATCACAGAAGAAACGTTCACATTTCATCCGTAACTTGCAAAGAATATACACATAATATTTCAGATGACACGCATGATTAGATGTCGATAACAGGTCAAATAACATTGAGGGTAAGATGAATATTATCCGGTATAATGTCGCGCCCTATTTCCGATTTCTGGATCACCATTAAGATGAGGTTGACTTGAATCGGTGGCACTGGGTCAAAACACAAAGTGTTATGTACATCTGGGAACTCAATTACGATAGCAACACAATAGACATGAAACATTGATTTTCTTAAAAAAGTATTTCTTCTTTAAAAATGGAGATTTGAAAGTAATGATATGCAACAGCATTGAATATATACGCATAGTATCAAACTGATATTGAACTTACTTAAATAACACAGACGGATAACGAACGTATGTAGAATTCTGTTTCATGTTTCAGTATTTCGATAGTGTACCATTTTCCTTACTTCTGAAATATCGCTTAAAATCTGCAGTCAACGCGTCTTTGGTTTTCACTAACGAGGCTAATCTTAAGTGGGTTTTTTTTTAACAAGAGCCCACGAAAAAAATCGTTACGTGCAATTTCACGCGTAAAGACCTATGGCTCTAGACAGGGCGTGGCCTCTACCCCAGTAATGGCCTCATCACTCATGTGTATGTTAGCGCGGGCTAGCACAAGCACCTGAGAATGTATGGTTACGTCGGGCGCCACATGCCGTCCCCAGAACAGATTAATAAAGAGTATTTAGGATGCATATCGTCTCGTTATCGCCTTTATTCCGTTATCAGCGGTATTTTAATGAATTTCTATCAATTGTCCTATTTTTTTTTTGATGTCATCACTCATCAAATTGTTCTATTCTGATATTCTAACTTTTCTAAAGTTTTCTTCTCTGATAGGGGTTCAAATTCGAAATCATATTTTATTTCTTAAATTTTCTCTTTGACAATGAGTAATTAACAAATTATCAAATATTAACAGTACCTGTCAAATTGATTATACAAATATGTCTTTTGTAAACTTTTCAACACGGATATCTGAATAACTGAAATTTCATCGTTTAAAATGGATGCTTTCCGATGGAGATGCAAGATGGCTTTGTAGATACTCGTTATGATTACATTTCCATAGGTCGGGTAAGTCCCGGTTGTGTTAAAAGTAAAGAAAAACATGGAATTTTAAACGGTATTTAAAATATTCTTTTTTCATATTATTATGAGAGTATCAGTAAAGGAAATCTTTGCAACCTTCAATAATGCATGAAAGCGAGAAACAGTTCCTAAATTGATAGATAATAATCCGTTTAAAGCATGAAGTGTTGTAATTTAAATGCGTTTAGTTTCTTTAGTCTAAATACCGAAACGGTTGATTATATGTTATAATATTTTAAGTGTCCGTTGAAAAAGTGATTGTTCCCCGAGAGATTAAACAACGCGTGGTTGTGGTATATGGTTGTTCTTTTACACGAGTTTTAGTGGGTTTTTGTAACGTTTTCAACATAGCGAACGAGAGAGAAAGAAACACGCTACACAACAACCACGAGTTTGTGAGACTTTCTTCTACGACAATAAAAAATATCATGGAGTTGAATAGATCTGCTCTGTACCCAAGTATGTTTTGTTTATATACGCAAAACTGACCATTCCAGAAATATTGTAATTCACTACAAATTACAATCAGAAATAAACTGGTTATCATCAAAAGAACTTTACTGGTAGAGGGAGGGGTAGAAATCCAAATACATGTCAAATTATTACAAAAACAACCGTTAACTACTTATTGTACGTTCTTATTTCCACGAGTGCGTGAAATGCCCTTTCGGTCAAAGTTCATCTTGTCGTCAGCATATCAAAACATGCTAAACTGCTATTTTACGTAACAACTAAAACTATTGATTGATGCCCGGAGAGTTGAATAACATCCTGTCTATTGAGGTAGAAAGAAAATTAATTTAGATTAACCAATTCTAATGTCTTTATAGTGGGATTAGTGATCAGTCCGCAATCCAATGTAATTTGAAGGTAAAAAGTTGAGTCATATCAGTTTTAAAATTTCACTAGAAGCAGTTCGTAGACCCTGCTGGTGGACATAAAGCCTTGAAACTTGCTATAACCTGCACGCCATATTTTTATTCATTCAAATAGTGGCACTAAACCGACTATACACATGTCCACGACGTTGTTCCAAAATTATCTGATAAAATAAAAATTACGAAATTTATTTAATTATTGCGCTAGTGCAATTCTCCGCCTTGATTTTCACGTTCTTTTCGATCACATTAGATTTTCCTCAATCGACTCATAGGCTTCAAAATCTAGCCCTTGGCATCACTGACGAGTCTTAGAAGGACGAAACAGCTGTATGATGCAGTTCAATTCATTGTTTGACTCTACTGTATAAAAAATTCACTTTTGTACCATCTTAGTTCATAGTTTCGATGACTGGTGGTTGTGGAATTGAAGAACGATAACCGATGTATTATTATCTACATAATTAGCAGATAGATTTCATAGCTCGGTAAAATCATTAAGCGTGATGTTATGTGATCAGTTCAGTGTCTAAGATGCGTTCATCATCATCTTTACATCGTTACTGTGGCAATTAGAACAATGTAAATATCAATAACTAAACAAAGTCTCCTCCTTTTTGTTCTTTTTTTTCAATATCGGTGTTGCTTCATTTCCCAACATAATAGTGATGTAAGTTTACATGGAGACTAACCCTCTCTTTGCTGACTTGTTTTACATACAAATGTGATTGAAATTATTCGAAGAATCATTCAAACAGATAACATAGACCTTGCCAAGCTGCTTAATTACTCTAGTGAATATACATTTCGTTTGTCTTGTTTTTCAATGAACAATTAGATTAATTAAATATGTTTATTAGGAGATAGTCCGACCAACTTGGAGAAATGACATAACAGGCTATTTCACGTAACACTATCAACAAGGACAGGATTTCAACAAGCTGTATGAAATATGTGATGATTTCAATTTCCTTTTTTGAATCCTGCTCCCAAATCTAAGGTCTTTACATGTTGTAGCTGATTTGACATATTTGGAATTTCTTCATTCCTCCATGATCGCAAAAAGTCCCAACAGACGATTTGGAACGTTACAGTTTGATAAAAGCCACGAGAAAGTTTAAAGGTCGTCATAACGATTTCATAGCTGAATTTCTTTCTTGTGTTTTAAAATCTTAAATATGCTTGAAGCTTTCTATATGTTAATTGGTTCTCATTTGGGAATGGTTGTCGCCGATGGAATAGGAGACGCTTCTACTTCCTGAACGCCATGCTAGGTAGTTTATGCCATAATAGTAATCAGGTTACTAGTCCCTGTGTTTATTTGACGAATTTTGTCGTTGTATGCTCTTAATAACTTAAACTTATACTCAGAAATATCCAAGAAACAAACAGTTTCAGATTTATTTCATTTTTCACATACTAAAATATCTAGAGGGAGGAGCTAGTCTAGCAAAGTGACCACTGGTCAGTGTCTTCTATTGCTTAAGTATCTTAGTAGCGGTGTCTTAGGTCCAATTAGCTACATCACTTATGATTGCCTTTAATACTTAGTAGTTATTGTAAGTAGACATAAAAATGCATTACAGGCTGCCGGAATGTACTTTTTGTAAAGCGTAGGGCTTTAAGAGGTTACAAACCACTAAAGAGGTCTTCCAACGATTGAAGTTGAGCTATTTGCGTTCTGATCCATTACATTTATTCACTAATAGGAATTTGACCACATGCTGTTAAATTAAAATAGAATTTATATGAAATTTTGTTTACATGTATTAAAATAATGAATAAATTTCAAAAAAAAAAAAAAAAAAACAGAATAAATATTTGAAAGTTTTGGAAATTTAGCAGTATCTGTAAGAATACACTCTGGTGTAGACCTCCTGAAATACCGACAAATTTCCAAGGAGATAACTGATAGTCTGTACAGTTTGCAAATTGAACTTCTGAAAGTAAGGGAGAATGTATATCACTTTCACTTCTCGTAATAGACTCCCCAGCTTTAACGCCTGCCCTTATTATCCCATATCCTAGTAACCTTTCCGAACTGTTCTAATTACTAATCCTTTTTACGTGTCACTGAAGGACTAGGTTAGCGTAGCGTAACACAGTAATTTGCCCTACATGTATTTCAAATTTTGAATATAGGTCAAACAAACATTGGTGAAATTCTCGGAGTAAATGTGAGATATTCTTGATAAGGATGGAGGCATTGATTACAAGAAACAGCGGGGAGTTCCCTACCGTAGACTACATAACATATATCAAGTCACAATCCGCCTCCACAACCACTAAATGCACAGTGTAAACCTTTCATTGGCGACTTTTTCCCTTTCATTGTCATGTAGCTGTGTTTAAACATGTAAGAACAAAGTAAAATTGCTGAAATCAGATGATATGTGTAGGATGTTTATACCGGTATATCGTAGAACTTGTATATTTTGGAAACTTCGTAAGCAAATATGTAAAACAAACTGCAGACATTTAAGACCATGTGTATACATTAGGTTGTAAGTGAATATACGTACTCCATTCATAATTGCATAAATCGGACCCAAAATAGGTATCAGTGTTGGTCAGTGTATAAAAAAAACTCTCACGGTGCAAAATACTTGTATTCACTGATGGATAAACTGTCATCACGTGATTGAAGATTAATCTTAGGTTATGATTGACATTTTAAACATTTCGACCGTAGTCCATTATTCAGAAACACTGTCGGAACTTTTTCCACATGTTAGTCGGGAACCAGTTAAAAAGAACCAGTGTATGTATTCACATACCTATATATTGAGCACCCTACTTTTTGTAAATCGATCGAAAATAATTTGTTTGGTTTAATGTTGCTTTACTTCCTTTTAACAGTCGGGGTCATTTCAGGGCGTGCCAGATTTGGGTGGCGAAGGAAAGTCGGCGTTTCTGGAGGAAAACCTGGAGACTGCCCATTATAGACCTCGAACCCGTGACTTAGAGGTGTAGGGCTAATGATAAAGACAATGAGACGCCTAAAACACTCGACCAACGCCGAGAAAAAACCTTTAAGTTGTTCTGGTGACGACAGTATGTTATGTATGTTCCTACTTTTTAAGGAACAAACACACTAACCCTTTCCCTGGTGTTGTCAACGGCGGTGCTTCATGACTCCATATGTACAAAACCAGTCGCTCACTAACACTATACCCCCTTTCAGTAAACACATATAACCGGCCAAGACTTAAAACAAAACAGCATACAGATATTTTTCCTTTCATCTCAGCTGACATTTTGTCATGTTTGTCTTTTTTCTAAACATTTTTAGTTTTTTAAAATCCTCGACCGAATGGTTTATTGCTAAGAAAAGACAAAACTAATAATGGAACAGATTCCTGTTCTATCGCGGGCAGATATCTGTATCCTGTATGAGCGATAACTGTCGTACACTGGACAGATAAACACAGGGCTATTTGATAGCATATCTTAAGGATTGTTAAACGGTTGGCATATCTGCTTAATGTTTGGAGTTCTGATAAATGGTATCGTTATTCAGAAACATAGGTACATATATATAAACAGAGCGACATAAATCTGCAGTTAAGTGATAATCAGACAGTGCCGGCTACTGTTATATAGCATATTAAAGATCCGGATTTTGTTTTCATGTGCTAAAGTTAGATGAACACTCATGTTCAAACGGGATGTGTGAACAGTTTTATTCTGTGTTCTATTTGCAAAGTTTGCCGATTATTTCTTTAATGTTAGAGTTTTCATCAAACGCTTTGATAAAATCTAGTGAAACGTTGTTTGCGCGACTATAAAGCGATGCTGAAGAGCGTTCAAGCTGTATGTTTTTATCAGTATATTTGCTTTACAATACTTTTTTTAATACTGGAAATTGCAACCCAAAAAAAATCTTCGTAAAGTACATATAAAGTAACAAACGTGCTCTTCGCGAGCTTTATTTTCTTCTTACTGTTAGAACAGGACCTACCTCACATGTTTCCATGGCGTCGTTTTGCCTCCCTTTGCGGAAGTAGGGGACAGCCAGACACACCTCCAGGAGGCGCTGATATTGGTCCAAATTGTCCGTGTCATTCTGTCCGTGTAAAGTGTCCAGAGCACGCTCGAAGTAGTAGAGAGCGGTGTCATAATCTCTCAGAGCTGTGAACAATGTACCAAAACTTGCGTTCGCCAATATATCTAAGCGCTTGTCTTTCGTCTGTCGAGCGATTGCCAAACTGAGATCAATATTTTTACAGCAATTACAAAAATCACTCAATCCGAAATAAGCGTTCCCTAGGCATAAATGAGAGTATCCAAGAATGTTCGAATGTTTAGAGTTGACGGTTATGCTTTCTTTACAAAATAAAACAGCTTTATCAAACAGCGAAAGTCGCTCATTCCCACGAGCTAGATTAAAGAATGCTTCCGCTTTCATACAGGAATCTTTTAAACTATTTGCTATGTCAATCTGATGGTCTGCATATCGTAAAATGTCGCGGTATTTTCCTGTGTCGTAATAAATTGTACAGAGATATCCGTATATAACGAACTTGTCCGCGGATTTTTCCGTTTTATTCGTTTTTTTCAGGACATTGAGGAATTCCATAGCAGCTTCCTCAAACAGTTGTTCTTTGTAATGTTCAAGGCCTTTCTCCACGCCTTTCTTCCCGACCTTTTGTCCCATTTTTATAATTTTTTTATGGCAAGCGCACTTAAATGAACCTGGAAGTAAAACCAACGAAATGTGTCTCTTTTAGCAAGAGAATCCCAATCAGTCCGCAAAATACAAATATCTTCTTTCCTTTTCACTGCGGAAATCCCTGCTAACTGCCATTCTGTGTCACGGAATGAGATCGGTTTTAAGTTTTGGCTTAAACTTCGTCAAATTCTTGAGCCAAATCTCTGCCAATCTGGTATACCATGCATGCACACACGTGTACTACACTATGCACGTTCAATACTGCAACGGCCGCTTAGCTCTTCAACTATATATAATACTCGGCTACAGAGTTTCCTGATGGCAGCTGCCCGCGGAATGCCTCTCATCTTTGACATTATACTTTAAACAATTCCAATACACCTCGATCAATTAACTCTCCAAAACCAAGCAGGAGGTCGGAACAGGAATGTGAAAACCATCCACGCGCCATTCACGCGCATGGTTCAACACCGGGTTCCGACTACACAAAACTTGCATACTAGCACATCTGGACAAACTAGGTCTATAGTAGGGTGTAGCATTCCACTCTTCTCTTGTTTACAAACACTAATAACTTCTTCAAAAGCATCGGCTATTTGAATTGAGCTTGATTCAGTGGCTGACCGCGGCTAATTGATATAAACAATCCGTCAAAACGTCTTTTCACTCATTTCGTCATTTCAACAGAAACAAATCTTCTGTTACTAGAAACACGATACTTGAAGAATTTTTTGTTTTAGAAGGAACTTAAACGAATGTCTTAGCCGTTCAACGCCCTGATCCATAAAGCTTACAGACGCATGTAGTACCGGTCATAAGGCACCTGTCAGGATCTCTTTCAGCATAGCTGTTACATTGTAATCGTGGCTGTTACGAATAAGAAACTGCCAAGATTTAGAACGATATGATACATCGTATAGTTGACACTAATATCTTATTGTAATACCGGGCCAAAAATACACCAAGATGCCCCAAAAATAAATACCATGCCACGTTTGACATACATATAATATAGACACTTGCACTCCACACCTCGTCACGCCGGTGCCAAATAGATGTGCCAAGAAACTGTTTGAAAACTCAGTAGAATACTGAAATATACTGTAAAATCATATATCTTCGTGGGTCTTCATTTTTGTGGTTTCGAAAAAAAATCGTAAACTCATGATTTCGTGAATAGATATACATCTATACATCATCATTCTTATTTTAATATTAACAGTTCGCCGACATATGAATTCGTGGTTTAAAAGTACACACGAAATCAACTGAAATAAACCCACACAAAAAATAATCATTTCGCAGTATAAAAGAAAGCAAAATTTTAGCATTGTATCCAGTTCTACTATTTTGCATCGCACAAAAGACACACAAGTGAATAGTATCTTTTAAATTACAATAGGATATAGTAAATTAAACAATAAATAGATTCATCTAATTCTGCGTTTGTATTAAAACGTGTTATCCACTCGTGTGCCCTTTGTACGTGCATTACGTGTTCTATCGTCAGCATTGCTTTTATGTTGGATGTTAAACAGAGGTCAAAACGGAACTATTCAGTACAGTCGGCATAGTACGGTAGAAGCTTACTCCAGACTTTGATATATATGTAATTACCATGCTTGTGTTAGAGTATAGGGTTTCTACTGTTTAAGAGCCCGTATGGACTATTCATTTACAGACCCCTACTGATGATAATATACCTGGTGATGTATGAACCTGGGTACCAATAGTCAGTTCAGTACAACATCAATTCAGGCTTCACTTATTTTACTTTATCTGTCAACCACAGGTACGTCTTCTATATGGAATTAATATGGCGTCCTAGATTTATACATAATTAAAACTTTATTAAATGCTTTTAATACAGAGATACGTCTCAATTTGTAACAAATTATTTTACTTCACTGATATTGAACTCATAAAATCAAATTCAGTTGTCGAAAGAATCAAAATGTCATTTTTAATTATTATAAACATAAAAAATATGATTTATAAGCAATCTCGATAAAACATGTTCAAGTTATTTGTTCACTTTGTTAAACATATTCATATACATACAGAAAAAAATAACTTTTGAAAATAAACGTAAATTATTTTGTGAACAGCTGTGAAACATGTTAAATACTACTGACTCTTTTCGGGTTCAGTGAAACGCGTGTGGCGTGTTGAATTGTACGTAACCGCACTATCCTTCTCAATCCGACCGCGGTACGAGCAGAGCCAAATCATTTTGCAATGCTGATATTTCGGCGGAGAAGTAACGACTGACAAATGATTGCATTCTATAATAGATTTGTTGTCAGGTTTGTTACATTTATTGGTGTGTAACATAAATTGGCTTAACTACATACTTATTGGTGCAGAATACAACATACATGTTAAATATGAATTTTATACAGCAAAGATTGTGAAACAACTGATACTATTTTTTTATATTCCATTTTTGTGTTGTTTTTTTTTAATTTTCTCCCTGAAAATAAAAAAGAAAAAAAATAACGCTCTTACGCCTGTGTTCGATCAGAGGTCAATTGACGAAGTTATACTGACAAATGGTGTCAGTATAACGAGACTATTACGAATATGATGCAGTTTAATTCGTTATTTGGCTCCACTGTTTCTAATTCTAAATCTGTATTAAAAGGCCCCCTCCACTTGTACATGTGTGTTTTTGTTCAATTTCTGACACGTATCGACTGTCGATATAAGAGTTTTTACATGAATGCTAAGTGTCGGAATCCTGCTAGTCACACCGCTTCATCTCTCTATCAATAGCTAGGCACTCGTTTATAAATTATCATTCAAATTTTCTTGAAAAAAAATAACTGAATTTTCTTGAGACTCAAGGGTACATAACTTACACTTTTTTCGATGCTTACGTATTATAATGATAGGTACTTCATGATACCACTTCATCGTTTTATAGCTGGCAAGGTTAGCTGTACAAAGTATTCCTATTTTTTTACTTCTCTTTTTAGTGTCATTAACACAAGATAAGCCACATTCTCTTCTTGAATGGAACTGCTCCTGCCACGATTTAATCTAATTTGATATAGACATTTAACTGTAATAAACTAGGGTAATCACAAAGAAATTTCTTACAAAGATTTTTTTAAAGAAAAGTAATTCCGAAATCGGTGTTCGGGATGTAGATGTTGATAAAGTTGATATAAAGCAATTTCTAAAATCGTTCAAACTAGTTGTACGTCATGCCTAGCGTAATTACATTACAAATAGATACCCTGGTACATACGAGATAACATGCTGTTATTATGATATAAATAGATACATGATACTCATCTTCACGAGTCAAAGGTGTTCAATTCGATACTCGTCAAACTGAAGAGATTGTAAGAGATCGCACTTGTAACTCTTGGCAGTTTGAGGAAGAGCACTGTTCTTGTGGTATGTCGTGTGGTGTTGTTGTTGTTACTGCTGCTGCTGCTGCTGTTGTTGTTGTTATCGTCGTCGTCGCTGCTGCTGATGCTGCTGCTGTTGTTGTTGTTGTTGTTGTCGTCGTCGCTGCTGCTGATGCTGCTGCTGTTGTTGTTGTTGTTACTGTTGTTGATGTTGTTGTCGTTGTCGTTGTCGTTGTTGCTGTTGTTGATGTTGTTGTCGTTGTCGTTGTCGCTATCGTCGTCGTCGTCGTCGTCGTCGTCGTTGTTGTTGTTGTTGTTGTTGTTGTTGTTGTTGTTGTTGTCGCTGTCGCTATCGTCGTCGTCGTCGTTGTTGTTGTTGTTGTTGTTGTTGTTGTTGTTGTTGTTGTTGTTGTTGTTGTTGTTGTTGTTGTTGTTGTTGTTGTTGTTGTTGTTGTTGTCAAAGTCATCTATAACTAAGGGAACGCTACATTCTGTCATCTTTGTTACATTGTTTTATTTTCAATTTATCTATTTATTTTCTATTACTAGCACTGCGTTGAAGATCTCTAACCTGTTTTAAAATCGCTTCCGCAAGTAAGTTTTATGTATTTTATTGGAATATATATGTGCAAAGATATGAACATGATAAGGCCTGCACTTTTTGTACTATAGCATGTTGGGGAGGATTTTGTATGATTGAAAATGAGGTGTTGGTTAAATTGTAAAATTGTATCAGACATATATGAATTCCGAAGTTACGTAATGATACGTGTACAGTTTCCTACTTACATCTACCGTAGTGTTTAATATATTAACATATATTGTATAAGAATTAAAATGAGACATTCCGTGTAAATCTGTCTTAAATAGACTGAACACTAGTCTACCCACTAGTAGTAAACGCAATGCTGAAGGAGACACGTGATTACTGGTGATTACTACATGTATAATCTCAAAAACATAACGCTAATTGATAGTTACAGAAAGCACTGTGTTGCTCTCCATACCATACCGTGCATATGTTAAGCGTTTTCTTGATAGTGACATTTTTGTTTTTGACCAACACAAAGATCATCTAAATGTTTGTAGCTAATGGAACAATAAATTATCCTACTCCATAATACAATCCTTGTTGATAAAGTACTTGTAAAATGCAAATAGCTTATGTGTACTCATTACCTGTATCTATGCTAACGAATGCTCGTACTACATGGGGAGGGCGCCAACAGATACTTAAAAACAAACCACAAAAACGCTTCTACTTTGTCCAGACGTAAATCAAACGAAAATCATAGCATGTCTTCACTTTCTCTGGATACTTAGACTCAAGAAACCCATAACATCACGGCCATAATCTTTCCATGGTACTTAGAGTTTATATCAGCAACAGAGCTTTCTGGCTGTAGTCTCTTTAGTGAAACCACAAACAATACTTCAGTATCGTCTATATACTGTGAAGGCCAGTAAAATTACCGGCTACTTACTATACCAAACTATCGATAGACTTTCCCTTAATCTTGAAATAGGTTTAGTATGTCTAATAAAATTTACTCACATTCATGTTGGGATAGAAAGGGTTTTTTATGGGAAAACATTTGAATTCCAAGGTTCCTATATGTGTATATGTGCCGTTTGATCTTAAGTGCAGTGATGCCCTCCAAAGGCACATAACTACCAGTAATAGTACTGAAAAAAGCCAATACGTGTTATCATGAACCATTGTATTGAGAAATTATATACATTGTAAAACACGAAACATACATCAAACTTCATATTCACAATGACTGTACATATCACTTACTTTGTAATACAAGGTAATCATTGATACCTTCTTACGTAAGACAGACGGTCAAATTTTTTTGTTATTAATGATACATACGAGAACAATAAGTGCAATGAAACACGTATGAGTGTTATAGATATGCCTTCCGGTACCTTGATGCTGTGTGTGGTTGTAAGCCTGTGTGTGGTCATCAGATTGTCTCGTCAGTATAGCGAAACCTTGCTGTTTATAAGAAAACATTAATTAATGTAATTATAATTTTAACATAACGTTTTATTGGTTAAAGGGAGGTAATGAACCAAGACAATGTATGGCATCCCATAATGTGTAGTGTTTCAAGGTAAGTGTGTTTGTGATATTTCAGATAGAACTGTAAATTATCGAGTTTCAAGCAAGACATCTGGTGGGTTTTTTTCTCTTTGGTAGAATATACAAAACGAGCTAAAACTTTAAAAAAAAATCAGTTTTTCATTAAAAAAATCAATACATTTTTTATCTAGGTATTTGTATGATTTTATCGAAGTTGAAATGAAACGCATTCCGTCC